GTATAATAGAATAATTAAAATAGTATAAAAAGTTAATTTAGATCATTCTTTATTTAATATAAAAAATTATAAAGATTAGTTAAAATTTGAATGATTTTATTAGAAGCAATTATTGATTTTTGTATTGGTGTTCCAATCTTTTTGCACTGGTCCATATATATAAATAAAATTTAATTAGTAAAATAATAAGTATAATTACTAAAAAATTCTTTTGTTTTCTGAAAATGAATAATATTTCTATTTTTTATTAAAAATATAAATGTGATTTAGAAATATTTAGTTAGATTGTTAATAAAATAATTTTGTTTTAATTAAATAATTTATTTTAATTATTTTAATTTAATTTTATCTAAAAACAATGTAATAAAATCTCTCTAACACATTTTATAAATACATTCTGTATTTAATGTCAACTACAATAATGCTTATAAAATTATTCTCTCTAAATGTACATCTCTCTTTAAATGTATATTTATGAACAGTCTTAAGGGATGCACTTTGTGAGGTCTGATTTTATTAATATGGTCGGATTTGATACAACAGACGATTTATTTTAGCCAAGTTACCAAAATTGGGCTCGTATATTACTACATAAACTTGGTTATTATATTCGTAATGCATACTTTATTTTAATTATTGTAATTAAATTCTTTAGCATATATAACTTATACATTAAAACTTATAAAAACTTAATGAAGCATATCGATATTATTGTTTATCTTGCTAAAAACCAAACATATATAAATTTATACAAATAAATTTATTAAAAATAAAAACTTTTAGTTTTACTTCTAAATTATACACATAAAATTTAAGTTAAATACAAAATAACATACATTAAAAACATATAGCTCTCTTAAAATACATTAAAATCAAAATTTATAATCCATAAAAACATCATTATCGAGAATAGGAAAACAACTTTGATTCTTTTAACATTGTCCATAAGTTTGCGTGTCTAATAATAATTGCTCGAACACATTTTCATAATTAAATTTATTGTTAGTTTGAATATCGAATTTCTTCTCGTTCGTGATATCTTCAAAGAAATTATATTGTTGATTATTCATATGCTCAATATTATCAAAATTGTTCTCCATTTGATTAATCAAATAATTACTCATTTCTGATGGTGGTAGCAAACCATCGTCATTATTATAATTATAATACAAGTCAAAATTTGATTTTGTTCGTGGTGGTGACGATGATGATAAATTAGTAAAGTTTGAAGAGGGTGATAAATGAGATTGTGATTGCAAAGTATTATCTATGATAGGAACGTCACCATCAAAATCTGACATTGACGTTAATTTAAAGGGCATAAGATTATTAGGTTCATTTAAACTAATTTGTCGTTGCTGCTGCTGTCTGATTGAGTTCTCTTTTTCTAATCGTTTCTTTTCTCTTAATGCACTCGCTCTCATCTCGACAAGAATATAATTGACTTGTCGTGCTATTTCTTTATAACCTTTTTTTACTTCGGCCGACTCTTTTTCCCATGCACGGGAAGCAATAACGGAAACCTTATTTAATTTAAGAAGATGTCCACTGGCACGAAGCTCTTTTTGAAATGCGCGACGATAAATGATAAAACAATTTGGGGATTTTGTCGGAATTTTTCCATGTTTAAGAGTAATTACTTCTTTGGGGGTGATATTGGGAGGAAACGGAACTTTAATTTTATTTAAGATAATTTCTTCGTCGAATTCTAACATTCTTTTAATGCAATAATCATAAAATATATAGTGACAACAACAAGACAACCATAACAAGAGGAAGCGTTTATATATATTTAAAAAACTCCTTGTGAATCAGGAGACAGTATGTAATGTCTTTTTCTGCAGCAGCTGATTGATTTTTTTGAGAGTAGTCATCATAAATGCAAAAAACGTTAAATTAATTTTCCGATCTTCCCTAAAGGAGAATTATTGTTACTTCTAAAAAGAGACTTATATAATAATTTCTAAAAATAAAACGAGAAAAAAATGCTAAAAATAATAATCGTTATTAATTGCGAGTTTTTAATGCTAAGCGTTCTTTGATTGATTTTAGTTTTATTAAAAATATTAAAACAAAAATATCTCGGAAATTCCTAGTGCACGTATATTGTTTTCTAGAAATTCTTTTGTAGGCATCCTGTCGTTCTATGTTCAAATCTATTTTTCACCAAATTTTATTCGAAGGCAAGAAGAATATTCAGAAGTTGTAATTTAAATACTATTTTTATTGAACAATGACAACCGAGTTCAAAAAGGCAAAATTTAAGTTCTGTATTCGCTTACGGTTTAGCTCATACGCAATTTATGAACCAGTGGTTACATGCAGGAAAAAATGTGACATACACAGCCACACACAATCTCTGTGTGATTGCCGGAATGATCCCGTAGCGGTAGTAACCAGTACACAAATGAACCACGTGCGTGTTATAATTAAAATCTCAGTACTACATGTTTTTTCTTTTAGAAGACTATCGCTATTATTACGTATTACTTATAAAAAGATTATTTCTTTTAATGATAATGATAACGATAATATATATATATATATATATATATATATATATATATATATACTATATATATACTATATAAAAATCTAAATTGATGCATGTACTGTACATGATTTATTCTACAATCTATGGTTGTTATTTATGTTTAAAAAACTCACCCTATAAATATATTAATTTTACAATTTAATCTATAGGTTGTAATTTATGTTTACTCTATAAATAAATTCTAAAGATTAAAATTGTATACATGAGATTCATTTATAGTTGTTAGATTATCATCGTTTGAGCAATATTCGAGAATCTGATAATTATCCAAGCCACTCGCATTAAAAAAATGCTGATTTGATTCAAATGTCGTCATATTCATATTCATATTCAGGTTATTTGAAAAATCTAAAATCTCTATATTGTTTTTTCTTGAATAATTTAGTGAGCCTATTTCTTGTATTTGAGCATAATTTGTAAAATTTTCAAAGCCAAGCGAGTAATTATTGAATCCTATTGGTAATTCGCATAATGCGGCTTGCGTATCTTCATTAATACAATAGTAATTTTCAGTGGGGGAATTATGATGCGACGCATTATTAAAAATGCTCGATCCATTTTCTGTAACCTCTGAATTTAAAAAAGTTAAATTTTCTTCTTGATCAAGAAAAGAAAATTCTTCAAATGAAATTGGTGATGACGTAAAATATTGATTTTCATGTGATAAAGAGGAAGGAAATTGTTGGCTATAAATTTCCATATCATCATTTATGACTTCTTGTGCTTTTTCATTTATAGATTTTTGTGCGTTTTGATCAGATAAATGTTCTAATTCTTGTGCATATTTTTTTGCTTTGACTTCCATAGCACGCATTTCAACCAATGCGTAACTAACTTGCAATGCTAATTGTTTATATGCCTTTTTTACTTCAATCGGTTCTTTCTTCCATTGTTCAGATGCCAAGGTAGATACAATGCTTAATTTTAACAAGATACCATTTTCGTTAATTTGTTTTTGAAAAGCGCGGCGATAGATAAGAAAGCTGTTTGGGGGTTTTGATGGTATTTTCCCATCTTTGATATTAATAATTTCTTCGGGAGTAATAGTTGGTGGGAATGGAAGTTCAATTCTTGGGAGAACATTTTTGTTGCTTGTCTCGAATTCATTTTTGAATTGAGCTGTTTGAACTTTATTCATTCTGCTGGTTTCAATGTGAATTTAAAACAACTTCTTTTTTAAAATACGCTTGATTGGAATTCACCAAAGATAACGAATTCAAAAGTAAACCGCGACGAGCAAATTTATAGTTTTTAACATTTGCGCGTATTATTAAGCCGAATTCAAAAATTTTAGTCGCTTTTTTCATAATAGAAAAATGACCGGCCAAACATTGATACGAAGTTGACTGTTTGTGCTTGGTGTTGCATATCTATAAATAATTTTAGGATCACAAGCATTACACATATTTCTAGATTTTTTCGTTCTATTGTGGAGCTCGGAATAAATTAAACTTAGCACAGCGTGGCGTTTGTTATAGAAAATTCAACTCATTACTGTTCGATTATCTTTTCCAAGTTTACTTTACATTGTATTAGCGTTACTTTTTTTGATTTAAAAAATATAGCGATAACGATAGACCCATCACGTGAAATGATGTTATGGAGATCTACATGTATATTACCCGTCATTCTGCAATAAAAAGTTGTACACATGCCATTTCTGTAAGCCAAAGATTTTTATATTTACAGACTCTAATATGGAAAAGTAAATACAATAAATGTTACATGGGTCTTCTTGCAGTCTTTTTTATAACGAGCAACGGATGTGATACCGATACGAATTGAATTTAATCCGAGTTCTAACCAGCCACGTTAAATGATGGCTTTCACAACATGCAAATCTTAAAAATCTTATCTTGATGTTCTCCATATAAAGAATACATTATGGGAGAGTTCGTTTTAAGTGCACTCAATAAAGAGCACGTTTTTACTTATTAAGGCTAGAAAAAATGGTCATTGTTCTTGAGAACATCAAACGCTAACTATAACGATAGCACTTTTCAAAAACGCTATCGTTGTTGTAAAAGTGCGTATAAATTTTAGATTCTTTTAATGTAATTATATGTTATTATTAATACAGTAAATCATTTCATTATTATTTCACGCAATTTAGCTATAAGAGAATAAAAGTTTATATTTTCGTAACTTATAAAAAAAAGCTTGTTCTTTCAGCTGATTTATTATTTGGATTCTTTATATCTAAAATCTCCTGAGAAATGCTGTTGTATAGTTTCATTATTATAATAAGGTCATAATTATTATTGTTTAAAAAAGTATGGATGAGCATTGAATTACCTACGTTGAAAAATGAATGGCTAGGTGAACCAATCGAAAGAAATTCTGACGTAAGAGGAAAATTAAGTGAGTTATGAGCATTATTCAAAGACATATGTGAAATTCATTCCAGGAATCTTGGGCTAAAAACCGGCGAATTTGAAAAATGTCATTAGATAAGATAACCGGTATAATCCTGGCCTGGTTTTGTTGTTTTTGTTTTTGATATTTCCTTTTGAGAATGGATGTCGGTTGATCTCGATTAAGATTGAATTGTTCATTATTGATACCTTAAGCGTTTGCTTGTAATTCTTTAGCACGCATTTCAATTAGCACCAAATTATCTTGTAAAGCTAGGTCTTTATAGACATTCTTCTTTTTTTCAGGCAGCTGCGGCCATCGCCGAAACGATACTTAATTTATAAACATGACCAGTTGACGATAAATAATAAAACTATTTGGAGACTTGGACGGAATTTTTCCGTCTTTTATCACGATAATTTCGTATGGTGTGATGTTTTTGTGGAAATGGAAGTTTGATTTCAGTTGTGAATTCTTCGACGTCATTTTCACGGATATTGTTGATAAGACATTTTTTGAATACAGGTTTTTTAGTCTGAAGAAATTACGGAAAAATGAGTTGTCATTGCATATCTTTGTAAGTTCATTGTTCTATTTTGTATTGTTTGTTTATAATGGAATACTTTGTACAAAAGAGGTAAATTTAAGCCTATCTTACAATGACGTCAAGCTAAGCAATTTCACAATAAAATTTTTCGTGTGAACAAAAATGAGGTGCAAGCCAAATCATTTAGTTATTATTTCTCGATCGCAATTAACTAGTTTTTTCGTTATGAAAACGCAAGTATCTCTTGGATTTGGAACTTCATTTGCATACTCGCACAGCCACAATAAATGAAGACAATCAATGCAAAGTACGCTGATCTTTGGTGATACATGAGCAATTCGAGGAAAATGTTTCATTAACTAATATCTGTCGAATATGAGAGAAAACATTTTCATCATCGTGTTGGAATAGTTGTTATTATGAGACATGTATTAATTGTAATGAGCTGAGCTGTATACTGCACTTTAGGAAAATGTCTCATTTACAGTATAAATTTCGATGTGACTTTCTAGTGTATTCGCTTAATATGTGACAGCGAATGAAATTTAAACATGTACCGTTACTAAGTACTCGAAATTACATGTACACAGAGTTCACTTTGAAAAATATATTTACGTGTGTATAAATTTGATATTTATCTTGCATTTTGTCTTACAATTTAGATTCGCGTTTGATTATACAAATGAAAAAAATGATTTCGTATGTTGAAAGGAATAAATGAAACGGAAATGATAACACCTATGACGATTCAATGTCATAAATATCATTTATTCCTTTAAATTTGTATTATATGAAAGATACTTGTATATAATACGCGCTCAAGCGTAAAGATAATCGAAACTACTTTTTGTCGTATCAAGGTCTGTTTTTGCACCACCACCAAAGAAAAGATACTTAATTAAATGAAATCAATGAAAAACCAACGTAAATATTAAATGTAATTTTAACTTCGTACGGAACATACAAAACGACACTTGTAAACCTTATAATTTTTATTAATCTGTTAGCTATAATACCTATTGGAGTTGGAATTGATATTAAAAATTCGATTGATGTAAATTGCATTTGAGCGGATTTGCTGTCTTTTGTTTATATTCGTGGGAATGCTTTTTGTGACTTCATCCTCTCATCAAGTTTTGCTTTCTAATTGAAGATACTCTTTGAATTCTTTATCTGTTTTAAATTATTCTTAAGAAATGAAGCACTGAAATGCAAGTACTCAGTTTCAACTCCCAATTGTTTGAAATGATATCTTCAATAGATAAAGTAATAATAAAGTTCCTCAGCAGTTAGATCTCAACATTTTTAGTAATAAATTTTGTAGAGAGATTGTATCATGCAAAATGCTCGTTCACCCGTACATAATCATTCCAAAACCAAATATCTGCAGCGTTAGTTTATGGCTTTCCATTTAGCACCTCTGGACACATATTACTGAAGTACTTCACAAATTTCTTAGTTATATTTGTTGGAATACTAAGTCAATTGACCTTATGCATTAATAATACATTTCCAGGATGAAATTCACGATGAAAAAATTTATACATGTAATATTCACGAAGATCACACCATTTTTTGCATAATCCATTACTATTGAGCGTGTAGTACTCATTCGTAGCTGGGGGCTTTTAGTTATCCCATAATAATCAATATAATCAACATCAGTGAATTTTTAGAGCAGCCTGAATCTATTTTTGAAACTTGATTATGCAATTTTCACCTTGGAAATGTTTGTTTTTTGCCTCGTTTATAAATTCTCGAGTAAATTGCTTTGAATTTTGCAATGATTCCAACACAACTTTGTGCTCACAACGTAGTTCAAATTTATTTCTTCATGATCCCAATACTCTTCTAATGGTCCATCCAACCAGGTTGCTAGATAAATTGACCCAAAACCTCCTTTTCAAGATATTCAACGTTGGTAAATCTTTCAAAGGTCGAATTATATTCTATATTTATAATTAATTTTGTTAAATTCTTTTATTATATTGTCGATATCTTTATCTCCGCTAGATAATTCTTCATTATAAATTCGTCTGTGATATTTGAGACAGTTAACACAGTCCTTATTTTTTGACAATCAATACACATCTCCGAGCTCACCATAAAATGCGTAAATTGCTTGATTACGTATGTAATTAATGTGTACACCGCGTATCGTATCACGCATTAATTGAATATGGGTCAAGTTACGACGAACATCATCTGGAATTACTAATTAGGAGTACAAATTAAGATTTTCCGGAATTTTCATGTATATGTTTCAAATGATCCTATATGGAACCATCATAGCCGACAGTTCATACAAAATCCCGACAATACAACATCTCGGCAGTTCATAATCCCGACAATTGTGTCAAAATATGCATCGTACCTCCCGCCTCTATTTCTATATCAATCGGGTACCTTTTACATGTAACACAATATATCTTCTAATGCTTAATAAATGAATAATTTAAATATATAAATTGTAAATTTTTTAAGTAAAATTTTTGCGTGTTAAAAAAATAATTTTTATAAACAAAAACTATCGTCGCATCGTTAGTTAATATTGGGGGAAATAATTTATCTAATTGATATTAATTCAAATCTTTTTCCGTTTAATTGATTCTTACAACACGTTTCAAAGGACGTTTATTATTCGTTTATGATCTTTGAGATTTTATTGACAAAGATAATTGTCGTCTATATCTATATCAAATTCTAGAGTTACATGTATATGCAAAACAAGTATGTTTCAATATAAAAACTTATATTGCAAAAAATAATATATATGATAGTGATTTACCTTTATTTTGAACATACAAACCAACATAGAACCTAAATACGTTTAAATTAATATGAAATGCCATGTTGATTAAATATAAAAATAATTCTATAAGTTGGAATTGATTTTGATTTTGAAATAAAGATTCGAAAACTGCATTTGAGTGGATTTGCTGTCTTTTGTAGGAATAGTTTTTGGCGATTTCGTCTCTCATCAAATTCTTCATGTTTTAAGATATTCTAAAGAACTGTAGTACTGAAAATTGTCTGGATAGCAAATATAGAAAGCTCGTAAGTATCTTTCCTGAAATAGAATCACAAGATTACACCGGCCTGAAAAGTATCCGGACAAGATCGGCAACTGGAAAAATCAAACACCGATTGTAGCACACCATTATACAGTGGCTCATGGAAGAAATGGAACACGGGAAAAAAATTGGCGAGATACGAATATCTCGCCATTGAAGAAT